TCCTAGCGGAAACCCTGACACACACATGCATACACACAGTACAGCCCCTGAGTTGTGTGAGCATGTTTGTGTACGTTTGTCAGAGTTCCCGTTAGCCGGTAATTACAGGACTACGACCGGTAAAATATGCTGAAGACCGGCAAATCTAAATCTCTCCAGTCAAACTATCCGTTCAAAATTATTTCCGTTTAGCGCAATACCACATCAGTTGCGCAACTTGCGCCACTTATGTGACAGACAAAAGAGTATGTGACAGACAAGAATAGTCAATTCTAATGTCTAACACTTAATATGGAGAAAGAGATGTCCTGTATGGGTTGATTTTGCATTGATCTGTTGGTAATGCCTCGGGGTTCCGGTGGGCATGTAAACAAATGTAAACACATTGTAAATACTAGATTTAAGTTTAAAGAACAAGAAAAGAGAACAGTCTTGTTGGAGCTGACACTGAACAATGACACGCACACACACACACACACACACACACACACAGACAGAGAGAACGAGAACAAGCACATATCTCACTATTTAGGCTCCAGGAGAGGTCCTCTTCCTAATCCCTGATTAACAATATCAGTCGGTGGTGACAGTTTAATTTAACACAGTGCCTCTCAAGGATTAGCTGCTACATGAGGGTGTGTGAGTTTGTGCACACACGCCCACACATAGCCACTTACAATTCCTCTGCAGATTAAAGATCATGCTTATGTATATTTCACTTTAGAATAGCCACTGAGGAAATAAGATGATAATACTTGCAAAAACTATTTTCTGCAGCACAGCGGGGTTGATAATGAGAAAGGGGCAACGTCACATAGGTTGAGGGATTGCCTAATAAAGGTAAATATTAAAAGTTTTTGGCTTGATGAGGAGCAAAAGTTTATGTTTTGGATATCGTTTACACCAGCATACTATTTATCCCCCGCCCTTAGGCTGCCCTAGGGCCTAACAAAACTCTGCAACTGACCCACATTTACCACAGAAGACAGCTTTTTAAAAACAATTAAAGCCATTGAATTTATTTACATACAGACATGAAAACAAAACAGTGTGAGTTCTCCCCTGGAACAGGAGCTTTTAAACTCTTCCTACCCCAGATAGGTGCTCCTTGTTGAGCAATTCATACAACAACACAGGTGAGACATACAAACATAACAAATGTCAAATGTGAATTTTTCTCATCATTTGGTCGTGTGTATGTAGGTCCTTTGTTGGTGATTATGTGTCAGTTTGTGTGTGTGTGAACATGAAGATACGAGGATGCTTTCAGTGTGTACCATGTCAAACCCTGCAAGCAAATTCAATTTGAACTGAGATCAAACGGAGAGAGTGTCGTCAGCGGTTATAATGAGCATGAAGTGATTTAAATGGTTGCCGTTAGCCAGTATTCAATATTTCTCACAGGCCATTGTCTAATAAATATTATGAATATATCAGGTGGTCTGCAGGACCAGTGAACGGTTGGGAATATATTTAAATTAGAAAGCATCAAGTGTAGTTATAAAAACGTTGTTACATAACTGTTAGAGATCAAGTCACCATTTCTTCATGTCGGTTTTTTTAACTTGAAACTCTATTAACTGTGTGTGTGTGTGTGTGTGTGTGTGTGTGTGTGTGTGTGTGTGTGTGTGTGTGTGTGTGTGTGTGTGTGTGTGTGTGTTTCTCTTTCCAGTCATCTGCCTGGTTGGCCTTGGCCTGGTGGTGTTTTTCTTCAGCTTCCTGCTTTCCATTTTCAGGTCCAAGTACCATGGGTACCCCTACAGGTAACTATAGCAACCATACAGTACCACTGTACAGATGCTCACACAAGTTTCACCCAGCTTACTCAAACACAATATACAATAACTCTTAAAGTCACTAAAGTTGACATGAAATCGCTGGGAAGTTATTGCAGACGCAGGGCAAACATCCAGGCCCAAAGCGGATCCATCCATTCCCATTATTTCATTGATCCGTAGACAGCTGTTCGATTGGAAACACCGCCTACAAAATTACAAGCCACAGCGCCATTGTGTTTTTTCTCGAGAACAATGTGCCAAAACTTCAACAGAGATTTGCAGTCTGACTTTGTTGCACTGAATATTAGAAATCATGGATGTTTTTCTTAGGTCATCATACAGTAAATGTGTTCAGACACTAAAGCGCTTCAGCTTAGTGAGCTAGAACAGCAGCAATTTGGTTTCCACTTTGAACTAAAGGTCACCACTACATCAAATAAGATTTAATGTGTGACAGAAAACACTCTACAAGTCCTCAGAGCCTGGGTCCAATTCATCGCCAATGAAGCAGCTGTAGGATATTACAGCAACACCAGAACAGCTCCAGCTTCACTTCTGGAGCTGGAAGCGATTTGTGATTTTGCGGGCACTTTACTGAGGCATATAATTTACTATCCTGGGGGGCTTTAACCCTGTTGTGGCTTGGAATTGGACCAAATTACACCGTGCCACCTCAGTGGAGGGGCTTAAGGTTCAATGATTATTGTTGAGTGACTTTGATAGTGAGTTAAGTTTTGGTATGAAACTGGTATTGCCTTATCTTCGGTTCATAAACTAGTTTTCTTCCAAATATCCCAGATGACTGTCATGTGTTGACAATACGGGGGTCTTCAATTACAGAACATCAATTTAACCCAAAGATTATTAATCATTTGTTACTTAATCAGGAATCATTGAGTTATAATCACAAGACACTGAGATATCCTCTAGTTTACACTAGCAATTAATTGGAAAGGATTTATTAGAACTGTACCGATCGAAGAACACCTTAATGGTTCTTATAATGGCCAAATTACAGCGTTAATTTCAGGAAACCTTGGGGAAATTATTTAAAATTTAGAGGCTCATAAATTGAAACATAAAACCTTCAGTATTTGAGGTATGAATGATTTGAGAGAGCCTCTTTCTTCTTTGCTGCTTGATACTGAATGTATCCAAACAGAATGTTAAATGAGATTTTTTGAGCAGCTAAGTTGTGGCTGTTTTTTTAGATAACCCAGCCGGTTTAAAACCCAGAAGTAATTTACATTTTTTATTAAATATTGTTTCATATGAAACATTAAACATTTGGTCTGTTTAGCAACACAAACTATAATAAGATGTCAGCATCATCTCAGAATTGTAAAGACAGGTCTTCAGGAAGCATTTCTTAGCAATTTGCCTGATTACATGATTCTAGAAACAGTCATCTACATTAGCCACAGTTTTTAGTTTGTTATGGTAGCCTCTGCATGAAAAAATAACTCCCTATTATCTTCTTGTTTCTCCTCTCTTCTTGTTTCAACTCTCTTCTCTTCTCCCTTTAATCCTCTGTCTATTAGCTTCCTTATAAAGTGAGGAAGAAACCTGAAGAAGGAGGTCAGAGAATGGTGAGCAGTCGGTAGTTGAAGAGAAAAGGAGTTGAAGATACTTGAAGAGGAGGCAGCGTCAATATTCAATCTGGAGTTTCTTTTTTTAGTGTGTTCCTCCTACCATCACATCTGCAAGTTGAAAATAAAATAAATTATTAATTCTTACACTGGAACATCAAGGTGTTTGACATGTCTTTGTATTTTGTCTTTTTTATCTTTTAGTTGTTGAATATTCTGTGTGAGTAGATAATACCTGTGTCTGTGGAATTCTGTTTGTTATCCATATATTCAATGTTATTTATAAAAACTGGTTGGAAAGATGTGATGAAAGTTGAACCGAGGGACAGATAATTAAAGTTCCTTTGATTAGTTATTAGAATGGCTTATTACCAGTTACAAAGTGACACTCTTTTCATGGTGCGGCTAGTTTTAAATTGATAAAGCTAAAATATGAATGTCATTTATCACACAGGTCCAAGCTACTTCTCTATTACACTGCATGTTTACACCTTTTGGTCTTAGACTTTTAGGACCTGGACTAAGTTATTTTCAGCATATACTTGTTTTGTATGAGAGTTCATTAGGCATCTAAATTTGCTTGCATTTGGGACCGAATGTCAAAGAAAATACATTTTCTCAAAGTTGTGAATGTTAAACAAAGTCACGGTCTTACTTTTTCTTTGCACTAAATGAACATTTACTTTTTCCCCTCACCGAAACTGATCTTAAATCCGTTAATGCAAAATAGTAGCTCATGAGCTGAGTTTACAGAAGGCCAAAAGCAAGTGATGTAACCTTTCTTGCAGAATGTGAGAAGCATAGGTCATTTAGAGAATACATACATTTCTAATTCTATCACTTGTGGACTGCCCATTAAAACACTGAGTGGGCTGGAGCATTGAAACCATTTATGTAACCCTTCTTTGCGTGGGCTGTTGCAGAAATGTATCTGCAGATAGACCAGTTTTGCAAAATGTAATAAAAATATTCCCTGTCAGACTCTCCCAATTTTTAGTGAACTGTAATAAAACTGCAAAGCCCTTTCAGATATAGCTCCTTGTCTTGCTGTTTCATACAGTAATTCATCCGGAAATACTGAACCTTTTTTAAAAAGCAAAATATTCAGTTGGCTATTGAACTGTTAAATAGTGTGTTGCCACTACATATAGGAAATAAAAGGAACACAAAGGTTGCCAAGAACTCCCCCCTATTTTTCTGCAGAGAAATTATATATAATTAGGATGACAATGTTCAACAAGACAGTAATAAACATAGCCCCCTTGTAAGAGATGAGAAATAATTATAGGTTGTAACAGCTTCCCTCTTTAGGCTTGGTAATGACGTCCTTACTTTGAGTGGGTAATAAGATATACAGCCTATTGATCACCCCAGAATAATGTTTTTTGTTTTGTTTTAGGATATTTTAAGGCAAAGATTTAAGGTTTAAGATTTAAGGCAAGGAGTTAAATATATAAGAATGAGCAGAATTTCCCATCTGTTTCCGCTCAACCGTCGGCCTTTACGGTTGGGAGGAGATAAGCAGAACAAATGTCACCTTCGGGGAGGGATAAGTATCGGCAAATGGAGCTAAATCAATGTGGATATTAGATATAGGGCAGCTGTAGAACAAAAGACACAATGACATGTAGAATAATCTCCACTGCTTCAAAAAGTCGAAATTGCATGCTAATTTAAGGCACAAATCTTGTAAAACTAATTAAAGATTTGAATTAGACTGCTTGCCACTACTAATGTACAAAGTGTATTCCTTGTAGGCTGTCTATAAGTTGATTAACTGTTCTTTATTTATATAGCATGGGAATGCTAGTTTTTCAATTAAGAAAATATACTCGTAGAGTCACAGACTGAGCAGGTAACATGAGAGAAAATAATGGAAACACTTTATTATAAGTTAGATTTATCCACCCCTCTCTTCCTGGTATGTAGGAACGTATTGAAGTAAAAAACCCTCCCTTCCATTACATGTTACTTGTTAGACGCTTTTATCCAAAGCGACTTACATACTCAATACTGTGGGCAATCCCCACAGGAGCAGTTTGGGGTGAAGTGTCTTGCCAAGGGACACAACGACATGCTGACTGCAGTGGGCTTTAAACCTGTGCTCCCCTGATCCAAACACCAAGCCTCTATCCACTGCGCCACACGCCACCCTGCTACAAACTGAGCTTGCAGTTTATATTGAGGTGATTAAAGCTCACCTATTATGTTATATTTGAACACTATATTATAGGGCGATATCTATACAAAACATGTTTCTGAAGTGTTTTGCTCAAAATACCAAACAGATCACCCATTTTAGCATGCCCCATACCCCTCTATTTCAGCCCTGTTACAGAAGTACTGATTCTGGGACTGGCCCTTTAAGTGTAACCGAGCTGCTGCTGGCCACGCCCCTTTGGAGTGTCCGCATGCAGGCAGTGAGCTCTGTGAAAAGAAGGCTGTCTATACCAGCAGAAACTCAGCTAAACGCTGCCGTGATTAAACTCCATATTATGTTCCAAACAACATCAAGCATTATTTCTGAAACAGTGTGGAGCTCAAACGCTTTCTCTCTCATGGGTTTATCACATGGTGAGTACCTTTTATTTCCTGCTTTTTTACACATATTCTCTCCAGTACAGCGTTAGCTCTGAGCCTCTGATAGTTAGTGATGCTTGCTAATGTAAACACAGACCATATTACTTCAAAACGTACTGGGTCCAAAATCAAATTAGAATAACAAAAGGACACATTCAAAAGAAAAGGAGCCTTTCAAGAATACATTTGTACTGTGTGACACATTGTTATTGTTCTTTTGCAAACGCCAATGTTTATTTCCATGCTTTGATCTGAAACAAAAAATTCTAAGAATTCCAATTGTGATTTGGATGGTGAAAGCAGGATTGACATTTGCAGGGGTCATGGAAGACATTACTGATAGCAACTTTTGCAGGAGCGTCTTTCTCCTTTCTGTTATCGCTTTTTGAGCTTCTTGTTTACATCCAACAAACTCATCTTTCTTTCCCCTAGATATAGATTAATGAGGTGACTGCAGGTTGCTCCCAATTCTTCATCTTTAATAGTTAATTATTATTCTCGTTCTATCTCTTTCAACACTTGTGCCTTCATCTTAGATTTAACCTTTAAACAGGCACTCCTGCTGATGTTGCTTTGCACTGTCACAGCACCTCTTCAGTGCTTTCTCATTGTAAGATGTGCAGTATATAAAAGGGTTTGCATAAGGCATTTTGCGACCTTTACAAGTGATGTAAGCCTTCTCTTGCTCAGAGCTTGCCATTCACAAACTGCTGTGCAATGAGATTTTTCTTATCATTGTCTCAAGCCTTGTGTAACTTCAGAAAAAAAGAGCTCTAGGAACTTATATTTTGCAGTTGTATTGAACTATTTAAAATTCCATTCAGCTTATGACAGTTAACTGGGAAGTCCTCTGGACACTGTGGAGGTGGTGGGAGACAGGATAATGGCAGCCAAGCTGTCCTCCCTGCTGGACAATGTGTCCCACCCCCTCCAGGACACCCTGTCCTCACTGTGCAGCTCCTTCAGCGATAGGCTGCTGCACCCCCCGCTGTCTCACGGAGAGATACCACAGGTCTTTCCTTCCTGCAGCGGTCAGACTATACAACCAGCACAGCCCCTAGTTGACCCCCCCACACACACACACACACACCACAACACAGACTATATCACCCCTTGCTGCTAAATACCAACAAACTATGTGCAATATGTGCAATATATAAATGCCGTTAATAACTGTGTAATATATACCTGGCTGCTAAATCCTTAGAACTGTTACAAGGTGTGTATCTTGTCAATTGTGTAACTTGCTGCTTTTATACGCGAGTAGTGAAAACACTTCCGCGTAGTCTGCTCTCGTGTATCCTCCCTTTCGTCTCCTCTGGAAGCCTCCTCCCTCACCCCTCCTCGACTCCTCCGTGTGCATTTTAGCGATTGGGACGTCCTTTAACATGGCGTGTCTTGATCGATTTCCGGGTCAAGTCCCGGAGGAGGGGGAGAGAGGAGTCGAGGAAGGATATTGAGATGAACCTCCAGTGTCTGATGTTCCTGTCTTACCTGAGCTGTGCCACATCACTCTCCTCTCATCTTCAGTCCACAAACACTTTCTCCAGGCATCCTGACCAATTATTATTGGAGTGCTGCTTCAGTTGTTGCTTTTTCATTGCATCAGTGTCTGCATGTTGGCTTCATGTTCATCAGTGTGTTCATGGATCAAAGCGTGTGTCTGTGTCTGTGTCTGTGAGCATGTGTGTTTTCTTGCTATTTGTTTTGTAAGTGTTTGTGTGATTTTTTGAAGAAAAACATTCATGTTTGATAAAAGGGATTTTGATAACATGGGGACTCTTTTGAGCACTTGTTGTACAGCATATGTGGATGCCGTTTACAGTGACCCAATAAAGGGGGAAAACATGATCATTTAGAGAAAGCGCTGTGTAGTGCCCTCGTGGATTACCTCCCAGTGCAGAACATGTAAAGCTGTTCCCTAATGGGTTTCCGTAAAAGGAACAAAAACATGATGCAGAGCCCTCTTGGTACACCCTTCCAGATGAGGAAATGTGACGTGTAAGTGGCCATAGGGTGCCTTCCATTGGATACAAATGATAGCAGTGGGACCTTTAAAACGGATACAGTAAGATGCAGGGTCTTAAGGGGGCATTCTAGTAGAGAAAACATGATGAAGAGAACTAGTGGGTGCCCTTTAAATTGAGAAAGTGGGGTGCAGGACCCTCTCTGATACCTTCTAGTGGAGAACCCCTTATTAAGAGTCCTCTTAGATGGCCTTCCAGTGGAGAACACATGAGGCAGTGCACTATTTAGGTGCCCCTGAAGGAAGAAAAAAGTAATGCAGAGTCTTCTCTGCAAAGTTTCCAGTGGAGAAAATGTGATGGCCTTCCCGTTTAGAAAACATAATTCAGTGTGACATAGGCTGCCCCACCTGCTAGAACATGTTCAGCACACTGGGGTAGTAAATGCAGTTGGCCCACAACATTCAACTACTGCCATTTTTATATTTGTTGTCATCTTATCAAATATAGACAAGACTAAATATACGTTATTTTGGCTGTTTTTCTTTCATTCTGTGTCACGTCAGGGTAGAAAATTATATTAGCATTTTAGAAATGTTTGTTTAGGTGATATTGGTAATTGTGAATGATATGCCATTTATGTATGTCAATTGATTCAATTATTAATTTAGTTGTGGAAGAGTCATTCTGTGCCTTCAACAAAAGAGACGATTCAAACGTGTGAGGTTTTGCATTAACTCCTGGAAGCATTGTCATGCATCATGTACGACCACATTCCCAGATGTCTTAGAAACCTCATTTATTTTTGTGAGAATCAATCTCTGAAACATCTTAAAGGGCCTACAAACACCTTCTCCATCTTCGTTCAATAGTCACACCACTGATGAGAAAAAGGTACTTCAGGAAACTCATTGCCATTTCTTTGATTCCATCCCCAACCTGACGCCCACCACTGATGCCACTATAACCATTTCAACAAGATTCTGTCTGTGGATAAGCCAGGTTGTGCCCTGAAATATAATCACTAAGATGTACAGCAATCACAGCATTATTAGCTGAGAAAGAAAGTGAGAAGAAGGTAAGGAGAAGAAAAAGCATAGAGAGTCTGTTAAGGGAAGGGGGAAAAGGCATAAATAAAATGATAAGTTTACGTGACAGCTTGAGAAGTGCAAGATTCAGAAGTAGCATCTACCAGATATGATATTCCCTACTTCTACAGTGCAAGGAATTTCATTCTAGATATTTCAGTCGAGGTCTATTCTTCTGATGAAAAATAGATAATCACAAACAGTAAAGGAAGAATCTGCAATTGTGCATGCGGCTGTCAAATCAGGTGGAGAGCAGATGCAATGTTATCTATTTTGTGAAACTTCCATTATCTTTTTTTTCCAAACGCTGCATTGAAACTTATCGTACTATTATAGTTTGCAAAAGT